CCTCCCTGACAAACAAAAAACTGAGATCGTCCGCATAATAGAATTAAGGTTAAGATTGGGTGTACCCTCACATAACACGTGCCTGACAGGATGAGCTCGATATTAACCTTGCCTAAAACAAAATCTGGCCACATCTCTTCTCTGTACCGGGATATCGTTTTCCACTAGTGTTTTGGTAACAGTTTTCAGCAGGGCATATTTACTTTATAGCGCTTTTTCCTGTAGCTCAGGGCCCAGTTGTTTGAAGGCCGATTAGCTCTTAACCCTAGGCTGAATTTAACCCGGGTCTCTTTTTGTGTTCAAAAGCATTTTCTCTGATAATTTAGAGCTTCCAATCATCAACTTGTAGACAAAAAGAATTAAAACTGAAATGCTTTTTAAGCTTTCAAATCTGAATTCAAATCTCGCACTAACCCTGGGTTATCTTATGGGTAGTTCTTTACATTATTGTTTAGAAATTATAATTCAAACCAATTACATCATATGGTATGTAATATGTATCTATCAATTACTGACAGTTCAGTGAGCCAGAGTGATTTTACTAAACCCGTGAAACAATTTTAATAATTAGCGCCAAATAGTAACCAGTAAACAAAAGAAAACAGTGAAACTCACGTATTAGTCTGGTAATTCACGTGGTTAAAAGTAAAGTCACTCTAAAAATACTGAAAACTAAAAAATCTGGAAATGTAGTAATTGCACAATATGCCATTTGTACGACGACGTCTTTTTACTCGTCAGACCATGCCCAGAACTCATTTCTTGTTTTCTTTCACATTTAAATTGTTAATGCCATTGCGTTTTAAAAGACAAAAGTCATAATTTGTACAAGAAAGCAAACCCCTAACGGATTCGGGAAGTAGCTACTAAAATGAATTCATTGCGCAAATGGCCTATTAATAAATTATATTTACATTAGCTAAATCAAGATTCGAACCAGTCGATCGAGGCGATGTACGGTTGTGCTGTTAAAACAGTAGCGATTTCGCTATGGACGTTCCACTTTGGCATGAGCTTAACAGTTTTTTTCGTTGCTAATTGCAGGAATCGATCCAGCTGAATAAGTGCCATGTTAAACATACCTAACCTTTGAAGTCGTGAAGAACGTTTAATAACAATGACTTAAAAAAAGCATTAATATTCCAAATTACACTCGACGTCCATACATCGTGGGCTGAAGATTCGATCGCATAGAGAGTTTCGCGACAGGAAATGTTGCCGGTAACATTACACAAACATGTGTCGCGTCACCTAACAACCCTGGATGCCACTGGTCCTTGCTATACATAGATGCAGTGGAAAACAAATGGTTTTACTGCGACACCCTTGGCTGGGTACCTCCAAATGACCTGAACTCTAAAGTTGACTTCATCCTCAACGTATTTTCACAGGAGTTTACCTTGTTCAGAAAACCAGCACACGGGAGATTTATTCCCCACAAGCTACAAGGCAACAGCTATGTTTCCCACAAATGCATAGACTCTTGTTTCAAAAACATCCCCTTGCAGTCCTGTGGTAGAATTTGTGGCGCAATTGCTGTTGCCATGGGGGCCATAAGCTGCATTAATTCCACCATGTGGAGATCTGGCTTTCTTGGAACCAAAAGTTCTCTTCCTGTAGAAATTTCATGGATAAAGAATCCTACATTGCACTCCTGCTACTTGCGAAGAGTCCTGATCCACTGGATAACTGCACAAGATGTTGATCTCCAATTGCCTGGGATCAAGCCCTCCGTACCAGAAAGTCAGTACAATAGAAATCGACTCTCCTCGAATACATATGACGACGGGCGTAAGCAACCTGTGCTAAAAACTTCAGAGATACCGATGGTCGATCTAACTGAAGAATCATCACAGGATTGAGACGAGGTGGCAGATCAGGACCTAGCAAAGCAAACAGAAGAGAAAGAAGAGAAGGAACCAGGTCATGAGGCAGATCGGAAAGCAGCTGAGGCGGCACCCTGTGAATTAGAAGAGAAGGCAGTGCAAGGAGCAGGTCAAGAGGCAGATGGGGAAGCAGCCAAGGTGGCATCACCGTGTGAACTAACAGAAGATACAGTGCAAGCAGAACAAGCTCAGGAGACAGACCTGGAAGCAGCCGAGACAGCACCCTGTGAACTTACAGAGGTGACAGGGCAAGAGCAAGCTCAGGAAGTAGATCGGGAAACAGTTGAGGTGGTTCCAAGCGAACTAGGGGTAGAGGGAGTGCAAGAACCAATGCAGGAGGCAGATTGGGAAGCAGCACAGGCTACACCCTGCGAACAAGCAGAGGAGGCAGTGCATGGATCAGCACATGGGGTAGGTCAGGTAACAGCACAGCAAGAAGGTAACAGACTTGCAGAGGCACGTCAGGATGCAGCAAAGCAGAAACTAGTTGACAGGACAGATAAGGAGCCAAAATCAGAGGAACACTGTCAAATAGAAATGGAGGCATTATCGGAACCCGGACAGGATGCAGATTGGAAAGCAACAGAGGAACAAGGGCAGGAAGGCCATGGAAGACCAGCGAAGGAGACAGATCAAGCACCACCTCAGGAGGCAGAGCAAGGAAGATGCGATAAAGCGACAACGACAGTAGCTCCGGAAGGTTTCCAGCGTCCCTACTGTAACCTGACAAGTTCTGTCAAGTCAAATCTAAGGCGGCACATAAGGCGGAAACATGGAGATCAGATGAACGACGCTAGTACCCAGGAGTGTGGAAAGTGTCTGTGCCTGCAATGTCAGTTCAAGTGCCATAGAATTTAAGACCTAAGGCAGCATCTCTGCGAAACCCACGAAGTCGTATTTAAAACGGAGACACGCACATTCTCCACTTTTGCCGGTAGGGACAATACGTAAACGAGTAAAAACAAACCGAAAGTACTGCCGTCGATAGAGAATTTTAAATTTGATCACACTCATACCGCTGTACAGCCTTAACACATGGCCATTTCATTGGCGGTCTAGCTGGCTTTTCAAAAGAATTCAGTTAAAATTTTGATGACATTTACGATTGGAAAATGGCCAAAGTTACTCCACTTTTTAAAAAGGGCATTAAATCGGACCCTAACAACTACAGGCCAATATCTGTAATCCCTATAATTTCGAAAGTTTTTGAAAAAATTGTTTATAATCAACTTTTCCATTATCTAGATGATAATAAATTGCTACTAGGTTGCCAATCAGGGTTCCGTTCTCTACATAGTACGCTCACGGCTTTGCTTGAGGCAACAAATGCTTGGTCAGTAAACATCGACAATGGCCTTCTAAATGGCGTTGTCTTTATTGACCTTACCAAGGCATTCGATACCATTGATCATGAGATCATCTTGCGTAAGATGTCATACTTGGGTGTCGATCAGGCAGCCATAAAATGGTTCTCGTCGTACTTAAGTGGCCGAACCCAAAGATGTAATGTCAGTGGCAAACTATCATCTGCTCGTACCCTCAGTTGCGGCGTGCCGCAGGGTAGCATATTGGGTCCTTTGCTATTTTTAATTTACATTAATGATCTTCCCAACTCCCTGTGGGGCGCCGTACCAAGAATGTTTGCCGATGACACCAACCTTACGTTATCTGCTAAGACGTTAACAGAGCTTAAGCTAGCTCTAACCCCTGAAGTAAATAACCTTAGCTGTTGGTTGAAAGCTAACAAGCTCAGTCTAAATGTTGCTAAAACAGAGCTAATGATTATTGGATCAAGACAAAGACTATCTGCCCAATGTGACGATGTAGAAATCAGAATTGATGACCAAATTATCAAGAGAGTCGATCATACCAAATCCTTGGGTCTTACCATAGATGCTCAACTCTCTTGGGGTAAACACGTTGAAGAGATTTGCAAGAAAGTCTCTTCAGCTACAGGCGCCCTAAAACGTGTGCGGCCCTTTATATCCAAAGAAACTGCAATTCAAATTTATAACGCCTTAATTATGCCTCATTTTGATTACTGCAGCCCCGTCTGGGACTGTTTGAGTGGTTACTTGAGTGATAAGCTCCAAAAATTACAGAATCGTGCAGCCAGAGTTATTACTAAATCACCCTTTGATGCGAGCTCAAACCACCTTCTCTCCACCCTCAGCTAGGAGAGGCTATCTCTTCGACGAAAGAAACAAAAAGCCTTAATGATGTATAAAACCATGAATGACCTTGCTCCGGAATATTTACAAAGTCTTTTCTCTCAGCGTCACTCTGCTTACAACTTAAGAAACTCTGAGGGAAGGCTGACCCTGTCCAAACCAAGCACCAATTATTTGAAACGAAGCTTCTCTTACAGCGGGGCCATGTTATGGAATAACTTGCCCAAAAACTTGAAAAATGCTGCATCCGTTGAGCATTTTAAGCGAAATATCAAGAAGGTAGCTGATATATCGGATTCCCACACGGCAATCATGTAGAGCAGTTGTAATTAGTTTTAGTTTTTAACTTAAGCTTTACTGATGATTTCCCGTGTTAAAATAAAAATTTACATACATATATACATACTTGATATTTTGATAAAGTGTGTAGTCAAGCTTACCGTAGTTTAGTTAAGTTTCTCGGAATTACCAACGGCTACTTCTAGCTTTAAAAGGTGAAAATCCACTTCTGGCAAGTCACCTCCAAAATATAAAAATAAGGATGACATATTTCACATGAGGTATGACTACCTTAACCCTAGCCTGAGAAAAGTGCTGACATTGGGCAACGCTACCACTGGTTTCCCCGCCAAATGAAGTCTAAGAAACGAGCGCAGACATTCCATACGGATGACGCGTTACTACCCAGATGTGGGTAGTGCTTCTGATTGGTTGAATAGCACTACCCAGATCTGGGTAGTAACGCGTCATCAGTATGGAATTTCTGCGCTCGTTTCTCAGACGTCATTTGGCGGGGAAACCAGTAGTAGCGTCGCAAAATGTCGACTGTTTTCTCAGGCTACCGTAACCCTTACGATTTACAATTAGGATTTTCCGATGGATTCATGCTCAAATTCAGTTTTCGATTTCAGACTCTGAACAATGGAAAGGCCACACAGAAGAGATGGAAGACTGCTCCTTTTCCAAGATGACAGGCGATAAGGTCCATCCAGAGACTGGAGTAATCGTCAGGTACTTTCAGTGCAACTGGGGTGGGACAAACAGGAAACAAGGACAAGGAATTCGAAGAGAAAGAATGCAAGGCGAGTACTTTTCAACAGTGCGAAAGTAGGCATCTTTTAACGCCCTCCAAACCAAAATGTAAGGCAGATTTTTTTTATGATATTTCAGGTTCCTGTAAGATTGAACGAAACTGTACCGCAACAATGACTGTCAGCATATTTCCAGACAAAACAGTTAAGGTGGATGCTGTACTGACACATTACGGGCACGAAAACGAGCTTCAGCATTTACGCATCTGCAAACGAAAACGCCAAGAAATTGCAGCGAAACTAAAGCAGGGCGTTTCCCGAGAAAACATTTTAGACGAAGTAAGGGAGAGTGTCACTGAAAACCTAGGACGGCACCACTTGCTGGCGAGAAAAGATCTTGCAAATATTGAGCGAGCTTACCGCCTTCAAACCTTTCAACGCTATGCAAAGACCAACAAAGCGTTTTGGCCTGGATAACAGAATGGAAACAAAGCGAAGATGATCCAATCCTCTACTACAAATTGCAAGGCCAAGAAGAAAAAGAAGACGTCGATTTATCGAAAGAGGATTTCTTCATCGTCAGTCAAAGCGCTTTGCAAAAGCACATGTACCAGAAATTTGCTCACAAAGGTGTCCGTTGCGACTCCACCCATGGAACAATCTTGGTCATTGACGAATTTGGCCAAGGCTTTCCTTCTGCTTGGTGTTTATCCAGTCATGAGGACTTTACAACAATGACAATCTTCTTTAAAGAGATAAAGAAGACATGTGGAGTTGTCAACGCAAATCTGTTTATGAGCGACAAGGCCCCACAATTTTACAACGCCATCAAACTTATCCGCACGTGGCATGTTGATAAAGCATGGAAAGAGGAACTGTGGAAAAAATTGGAGACATTTCTATTGAAGCCGAAGTGTACAAAATGCTTCGAATCGTACTACAGCAACCGGAAGAAAACACGTTTAAGGACTGTTTGGAAGCTCTTCGTAACCGACTTAAGTCCACTGCAAAGTGTGAACAATTCAACGAGTACTTCAACAAAGAATGGGAACCCAAAAAAGAACAGTGGGCCTATTGCTTCAGAAAAGGCCTTCAATATGTATGTGGAGGCTTTTCACCGAGTTTTCAAGACAATATACCTCAAAGGAAAAATAAACAAGCGCGTGGATAACTGTCTGGTGGATCTTCTTAAGTACGCTCGTGACATGGGATTTGATCGGCTGATAAAGATGACAAAGGGCAAGTTGACATACCGGATCAACATCATCCACGAGCGGCACAATCAGAGCATGTCCATGCCCACAGATTCCGTGGAAAAGATCGGGGACGGAAAATGGAAAGTACTTTCCGAAAATGGCAAGATATTTTATAAGGTCATGGAAGCCCCTACTGTGTGCCAGGAAAAGGATGCTTGTCAAATGTCATGCCCTAAGTGTAGAGTCTGCGTCCACTCATTCTCCTGCACCTGCCCAGATTCACTTATAATGAGTACCATATGAAGGCACATCCACCTTGTGAAGCGCACCATTATGAACGAATCCTTGGATCAGCCAAATGATGCACCCGAGCATACTACTACCGACTCAGGCCAGCCGTCCCTTGATGAAATTGAAAACATCTTAACCTGTATTAGATCCAAAACAGATGATGTTGACAATTTAAAGAGGAGAATCCAAAGGCATACTTCTTCGAATCATGGAAGAGATGAGTGGTTGCGACAATTCTCCTGCCCTTAAACATCTAGAAAAAACAAATAAGTGCAGCGTACAACACGTTTCTTTCTCTTAAAGATGAAGTTGAAATGGACATCATCCCTCACAAGAACAACGAGGATGCCCCAGCCAACAAGAACATGGACACACAGCCGCGCTTTTATTCCACCAAAAAGCGTTATCAAAAATCAAAGGTGCGATTGGTACGCCCTACTTTCGAGGAACAAGAGGCCTTTCTCAAGGATGTAATTGATGGAAAAATGGAAAAGGATGAATAAAATAAACAGAGGTATGTGCTAAACTGACATTTAGAATTATCATATCTGTAATAATGATTATCATGATGATCATGATGACAATGATCCAAGCATTTATACAGTGCCACTTCCAAAAGGGCAATGGTGCTTTACAATATATTAGAGAATGTGTAAAAAACTAAGCAAAACTCATAATTCTAGAAAGTAACATACACTCGACTTACTAAGCATATCTACTTTATTGTAACAGTGCTAATGCCTTCGAATTAAATAAATAGGATGAGAAAAGAAACTACAAAGGGACAAAGTCTCTGCTTTAATACTTACAGGAAATGTTACCTCTAATAGCCGAGACATTTTATAGAATTATAAAAATTTTGTATTCTACAACTTATAATTCCACAGAAGACAGAAAAAAGATTCTTTGGTTTGCTAGTAAGAATGCAGTGCAAGCACTAATGCAAATGGGACAGCAGATACCAGTGAATGTTAGACAAGACGTCACTGATCTTCCTGAGGAAGTGATCGAAGCTGACATTACATCTATCAAGGAGTTCTTTGAAGATACTGCTTGGGACCAAGTGTTAGCTAAAGGTACTGCATCTTGCAAATAATGCTAAGAAACACAAAAACCTAGACTACAGAAAATCATTTCACCAAACGTTTTTTCACATGTTCAATCTGAGTTGGCATCAATATTTACCCTAGGGACTTTGTCATGTATATAAGTGAAGAGGAAGTGATAATGTACTCGATTTGTTAGACTTCAAAATGTTTCAATTTGGTTAAGGCTGGCCAACCAAAGAGTCCAGTGGCCAGAATGCCATGACAGTGACAAACAAAATCGAAAATATTTCATACTCCAGGGACTTCACATCCCGAGTAACCCACCTAGATCTATACATACATGCACTCCGATTGTCTGCATGTCTGGTTCCAGAAAATAACCAGACACCCCTCCCCCTCCCTTATGGGAGATATTTTTGGTGTGAACCCTCCCACTCCTCTGGAAATTCCAATTTAGCTATGTAGTTTCTTTATAAAACATTTGTCCCTCCCCCCCTTCCCCCTTCCCCTCCAACTTGGAATGTCATTTTTTTACTTTCCTTGGGCGGATATCTTCTGGAACTGCACAATGGTTTTAACATCACTTGTTCAGAACAAGACAGATGAAAAGACATACCAAATGGTTCTTTGATGATAACGTAGATGTAACTCAGCATAAACCACAGAACCAGTGATATGTTATTTCTTGTCTTGATACTGGAAGAACTTAGAAAAAGCTGGACATGCAGTAATTGTAAAATTGCTGCACACACCAATATGATAGAATGTGATGGATGTGCTCTATGGTATAACTGGTGAGTCAACGACGTGTACCAACCACTTTTCATTTTTGAGAACCTATAAGAGAAATGTTATAGTTGCCTCTCCAGTTTCAGTTTTTGGAAAGTTGTGGATGAAGAATTATAAAGCCTTCCCTTCAAATCATTTCGGCAAGAAATAAGAAAATAATTTCTTGACAACCTTTTAATTTACATCCTTTTCGAACTATATTATTTTTCCTTTCCCCCTTTTTGTTTATTATCCTATATTTATGAACTGTTTACTTACAAATTGACCTAAATTGCTTCCGTAAGAATAACTCTGGTATATAACCTAAAACGCTACTTTATTATGAGAAAAATATATTTGACTTTTGTTATTGCACACTGATCATTAACCTTGGGTGTTACATCTCATTTATTGTTACAGGTCCTGTGCTGGAATCAAGGGAGAACCGAAAAGCTGGTACTGCAAGAATTGCAACCCTAGTGACAAGAAAAGAAAGATGCATTAATTTTTTCAAAATATAGGAACGAAGGCAACTACATTTGTAACAAATGAAAGCATTTTCATTTCCATGTATCATAAATTTAATGCATATCCTTAGAATTAACATTTAATTCACTATAGCCAGGATTGCAAAGTGTGTGGTTTTTCACAGAGAAACTGTGATTTCCTGTGTGCAGTGTTCATCATCAGTTCCTACTCCTATCCGTCCATATACTTCAGTCGTAATTCTAAAATGTTGCCAATCGTTTTTTTTTCCATTCAGTACTATCAAGATTGTAAAACACCATTTGGAATAATATGAGGAAAAAGACTGCAATTGATTGTATTGTTTAAACTATTTTTCCAAACTAACTACGGTGTCATGTGCTATCTTTACAGTCTGAATATAACCAGCAAGCACTAGGTTCAATACATAATGTCACTTCTATGTACTGCATAAATGTAGATTGCCGATATTGATCCGTCCAGAAAAGACTTTAAAAAATCTATAACATTATTTGTCTATTTCAGTCGTTGGCATGACCGTTGAGAGTGCCTTGCTGTATCCAATGCTATTATTTTACAATATTAACATTAATTAGCTTGAAGTCTGACAACTCGAATGTTGATCACTTTTATGAACATTTGTCCATCTTTTTCTGTTCAAATCAATTTATTTCAAACATCACTCTTACTGACCCTACCGACAATTTCTAAAGTAACCAAGGCATGTATATAATAATAATTGGAAATTAAACAAAAAAGTAAGGTAATGAATAGTAATGAATATCAACAATTGTGTACAAATATTGATTCATTCATTAAAAAATCTGTTGGGTTATATCAATTTGTTTAATAATCCAGTTTTCATAAGTAATAAGCAGATCGTGAGGTTAATGTCAACCAAGCATTTTAGCAGATGTAACAAATCAATGATGAATGACATGAATGAATAATCGATGAGTAATCATCGGGTAAAAACTGATTAGTCATCAACTATTACCTATAATCAATAAGTAATCGATGACTAATTGATGGCCAAGAATTTTGTGGCCTATCTGTTACTCATTGATGTCATTGATGAGTAATTGATGCATTCCATGACTCATCGATTATCTAATGATTAATCGGTTAGTCATTAATTGCACATCTCATACAATTTCCAACAAATTGCTTTTTTTAAACTTATTTCCAGGGATACAAATTTGCTAATACTTATAATAATTATCCTGCACATACAGGTGATGATTTATTTTATCCTCATATAAATTTAATATAATACCGAAGGCCCACCAACGGAACACATCACAAAATCATAACTGCCTATAGAGTGGGTGGGTCGGGAAAGAAAGCTTACAAATTGCGTATGTATATACCATGCTGTGCGTTTGCCATCGGTGTAAATTCTATGTGGCTAACATTTGCTTAGCCCGTGGTATCTATCCTAGCCACTGCCATTGTGGCTAGCTTGCCATCTTCCAACGTGGGCGGTCCATTCCAAGGTCTATATTTACATTAATCCAGATTAATATCCACGTTGTAAGACTTCTGGTACTATTGTCCACTGAGGATCGATTCCTTCTTTTAGCCTGGAATCGAGACATGGCTAATTACAGGAATTTGCTTTCCAAGTATTTGTTTTCCAGGCCTAATCTACTGTGATCAAGAGCCATTATGGCCGTTAAATGTGATCGAAGATGATTGCTATTTTTTGGGTGTACATATAAGGCCATCAATTCGATGTAAGATTTGGTCCACTCTTGGACTGTTAGCAAATTATTTTTCTCTCAAATCACTTTGCCTTAATCCCTCAAAAGAAAAGTCACATGAATGTGCTCTAAAGAGAACTGATTTGTGGAATACAAGTTTATTGTTTGATTTAAATTACAAATTTATTAATGAGAGCTTCGCTTTTAGCCCTGGCTAAATCTATATATTATATTAACCGGGTTAGCAAAAATATCCACTAATTCTACTAGTTGGCAATTTAAAACAAGAAAACTCCTTCAAAGGCCGATTAAAAGCGTTTATATGACGCCGGGCAGTAAGTTAATGGTCCCTAGAAGCATTCCAACGAGTCCCAATTTAAAATGACGCAAATTTTAGAACATTTATTCGGTAAACTGACAGTTCGCGAAGTTTCAAACCGGTGTCATTTCAGTCTAGAAAATTTTAAGTTGAGCGAACTGCAGCGAAAGAGTGCCTGGATAAGGCTTACATAACAACTTAAATAGCTAGGAAAACACAACTCTTTTTTCGCCGTCCGATAAACAACAAGATTTGGCATGGACTAGACAACAAACTGAATGAAACACAGTGCACAACGAAATTATCACCTTCTTATCTGCCAAAATCGGCCTATGGTTCAATGCCAATAGAGCCCCCTGAAACTAGACCTACATTGTAGATCCAGTTTTCCTAAGTCGTAAGTTGCTTTTACAAGGTACAATCAGCTAAGCTAAACACCAACGAAACAGTATTAAATAATGGCCGGCACTGAATATTTTGCCCAAACCGCTAGTTTAACCACGCGATCACATACCTGTCAACACCATGCGGAAATCACACAATCACACACTTTCGCAGCACTGAGAAGACTATCCACAACCACGCATAATCTTCTCACGTTCAACATAAGCGAAATTAAATATCATCGAATAACTCGGAAAAACTCAGCCTACTGGCAAATAAACACCTCTGGACTTTTCTCTAACACTTGTCTTATTCAAGTTCCCGGATGTAAAGTCACACGGTCGGCTGATCACCTTAGCCTTGTTTTCACACCAGTAAAACCCAAGTCTTGGCCTTGGTCAAAGTTCACTGGCAATTTTGCTCTCACCTAATTCATTTGACTCCTAAGAGCCTGTTTCCGAGGCCAAAGACTTAGTGGTCACCTTAGAAAAGCGAACAATATCGTACCTTTCTGTCTCAGCCCGGATCAGGGTGATTGATCCGTTTAGCCAAATGAAAAGAGAATATAATAAAATATTGGACGATGCAGACTCCGCGAATCGTAATAACTTTGCCCCATCTCAGAGCTTTCCATGATGCTCTCCGGGAAACTTTTCTCAAGGTGACCAATATATAAAACAAAACTGCTAAACGGCACCGAAACCAGCTTGAGGCGCGCGCTGATTTCAAATAACTGTCACTTGTGTTGAAGAAAGAATTGATATCGAGAAGAATCCAGGACCTTCAGTTTATGTAGATGCTAGTAAAAAACAATTAAAGCTCCATACTGTCAAGGAAATGTTACAGTATTTGGGGAAAATGCTGGACAACAATGTGTCGCAATGAGTCCGGGCGCTTTGAATTACGTAAGATATACAAAGATTACTTCAGTTGATGATATGACTCAAATAATGCGGATTGTTGGTATTCAATTATATTCTATAGTCTGTCACTGCTTGCAAGACAATCTGTGTTAATGTTAACGGAATTGCCTGGAATGGTTACAGTGTTTGAGCAATTTTTCCACCTTGAATGCAGTGACAGTTATACTTCTAACATCCATCACTACTGTATTAATGCCACTCACAGGGTACAGCATTTGAAACACTCTTGGCACTGAACTACATCTCATTCGTTTTAACGGTGGAAATATTGGTGTTGGTATCTACAGCATTGAGCCTGTGGGGTATAATGTATTTGATTCTCATGCTAGAGATATGTACCATAACAGTCATAGTGAAGGGACATGTGTATTGTTGGAAATACCATCCATGCATAAATTAGTACAATATTTTCAGACTCTACATAGGAATGAGGATATATATGAACTTAAAGGTGTACATATGCCACCTTTGAACCTCATCTTTTCTAAAGCAATGATGGACATTGTAGTGTATCAAATGTTAATAGTTACCAATGTTCCTGTAAACAGTGCTGCCATATAGCAGTTTTTGCAATGTGTTACTCCCTCATTAATCCTTGTGGATACTGGACTTAAGGAACTTCATTTGCCCTTGTTAGTAACCGGAATACACTGTACAATGTGATGGGTGTGAAAACACATCTGTCAGTCAATCTTCCTCATAGTGTCAGTATCAGTGGAGCTGAGATAAACCTTACTCTTCGCGCTGTAACCACTTATGTCCTATGTTGCAATTTGGTTCCTAGCATGTCTGCATTGAAGATGTGTATATTTTCAAACATTGTCATGAAATGACACTATTTTTGTTGTGGATTGGGACATCCTATATAAGCTGTGTGGTTCAGCAAATTAAACAAGTGGAGTAAAGGATTTGTCTTCTCTGGTAAGATATGATGACAGATCTTTATCTGCAATAAGGCATGCTCAAAGTATCATACCCCGTAGTACGACCACGCCCAAATATACCCTCCCACAGCGTCTTGTTATTATTATTTTTCCATGCCCGGATCGCACGCTTACTAGGCTACACTTTAGTGACGTTTACATAGAATAACACGTTTCATCTCGACCAATCAGAAGTCGGATTGATTCCTGTATTTAGCCGCAAGTTGACAATAATAATAATAATAATAATAATAATAATAATGAGTCTTTATTTCATCAAAAGATAAAACTACATATCTTATGTTACAATAATACGGAAGATAAAAAACTATGATAAAAATGTCTACATATATATATAAGAGGTTTGAACTTGAAATCCGTAAAACAGTGCTCAATACATAAAGTAGAGCGAGTATACGTATGGTTGACGGAAGAAAACAAGTAACTACATAAGTATCCCTACAAGCCTGTTTCGTGGTTGCCCACTCATCAGGGGATTTTAATGAGAATAACTTTACCATTACTTATATACTAGACTGATTTACATAATTTATTCAGTGCGAGGTTCGTTACATCAGTTGTTGCGCAAGAGGGCTTTGTTTCTGTGGCGGCAGGAAGACACGAGTTCATTACGTTTGTTAAGTGTAGAGAGTTCAGGTCGGCAGATGATAAGGAATTTTTCTTTAAGACATAAGTTGCATCGTTTGCTTGAGCTGTTGTACGGCAGGTGTGAAGATAGAATGCGCCAGGCGATAGAGTAGTTGATG